GATAAATCGTGGCGGTGGGGGGGGCGGTTATCGTAATGGCATTTCTATTCGGACCCACCCGGGAGTTTCGCTGGTGACAGAAGTGCCAGCGGAGCAGCGTCGCTCCCACGCTGTCCTTTAAGTTTTTGCATGCCATTAGCACACCCAGGAAAGTCCCGATCCACCTATTCCTGGGCGTAAACAGCAGGCGAAAGGAGGCAGAGTGCCCGGTACAGGTTTCGCTCGAGTCTGGTTACACGGGCAGTGCAAGCTGGTTGCTTTGGGAAAGAATCATGAGCAGCCACCAGTGCCGAAATGAGGGTCACTTTTCACTGTTAGCTAAATGACTTAGGGAATCCTGGTGTGCTGTCGTTACCACAACCAACCCACAGACAGTGCTGACATTGCAGTGGGGTCGTAAAAAAGATCCCCAAGATGAATTTTTTTACTGGTTCTTAAGCTAAAAATTGGTTTAATGAATTGTTTCTTCACAGATTTTAATTAAAGGATTTTCAGTAAGTTTTACAGAAGCATTTTTAAAGTATATCAGTGTTCTGATTTAAAAGCATTTGTGGGAAAAACTTTAATTTTTTTAAAATAGAAATTCATCATCTTTTCTGGTTAGATTATGCCATTCACGTGAGTGTATATTAAAATGCTGAGGAACAGAATAGGAATGTGTAATAACCATGTCCTTTTCTATCAAGAACAGAAGATTCTTCTGAAGAATAGAAAATTCTTTTGGTATTCTAGTTAATCTGTGCTGCAGACAGCTTTGATTTCTTTTAAAGCTTAATACCTAAAATGAGTAAAGATGCTAGCTATGGTATGAGCACCCACAGGGAGGGGGTCAAAATGTTTCTCCCTATATGGTAAATAACTGGTAGGCCGCAGTGTGTGTAGGCACCTGCGCTGGGAGCTGCGTGGAGTAGAGCAAGGAGTCATCTCTCTGCAACCTGCTTAAAATGCGCTGAAAAAGAGGCAGGCCCTGCTGCTGTGCCTTGTGCTGAGTGGGAGTGGGAGGTTGAGGAACTCAGCTTAAAGATCCCTTCCCGTCACTCGGGACGCTGTTGTCCCTCCCACAGGCTGCGTGGGGACTCAGTCTGGGACACGGGAACCATTAAAAAAGGAGTTTGGTGCCGGTGGCTTGTTGAGAATCTTGTTCGTAATTGGATTCAACATAATCAAAAATCTTTTTGAGCACTGTGTGTTCTCAAACTGTTTGATATTGATAGCGTGGGCTGGCTGTACGAATACGTTTTTTGGGATGCATAAAGGAGGAGCAGGGAGTGACCTGCAGCTCTGCACGGCTGGCCATGGACGTCTCCGGGTTCTGAGCTCATCCGCAGCTCTGTTTGGGAGCCCTGCAGCCAGCTGTCCAAGGCAAGGCTGCTACAGCAGGGGCTAGCTGAGCAGTTGGGCTGTGTTATTTGGCCTGGCCCTGCTCTGTGTTGGCCAGTGCAAGGATAGCCAAAAGTGAGCTGCATCCAGGGACGTAGTCCCTCATGTTTCATACAGTGACTCTGGGTTTGCGTAGGGCTGTTCACTTGAATCACTTGGTCTGTGTGGATGCATAAATAAAATGAAACTCATCTTGGCTCTGGCCTGTGTTTCTTTACAAAGCTATTTTTGCAGTTGGAAAATGTTCAGTTGTCAAACCAGTATTTTTTTTGTGGTTGGTGTAATTAGAACAATTTGGGTTTTTTTTCAGAAAGTTCTGTCATGTTCAGCCTGCCCTACCTGTTCCCTCTCTCCATCTTGTCTCTAAGTGATTTCATAGAATCAAAGAATCCTAAAATCCTAGAATCATTATGATTGGAAAAGACCTTCAAGCTCATGAAGCCCAGTTGTAAACCCATCACCACCATATCCTTTAAACCGTGTCCCTAAGTGCCTCTTCTACACATTTCTTGAACACTGCCAGGGATGGTGACTCCATCACTACCCTGGGCAGCCTGTTCCAATGCTTGACAACTCTTTCCACGTGGAAATTCTTCCTAATAACTAACCTGAACTAACCTGGTGCAAGTTGAGACCATTTCTTCTTATCCTATCAGTAGATTTCAAAGTCTTCCCAGCACACAGGAGCCCTGGAAGAACCTGAACTGGGGCAGTGATGCTGCTTGGGCAGCTCCTTTGATGGTCACCTGCATCCAGGGGCCAGTTGCAGTTGGGCCTGGGGAGGAGGTGTCGAAAACGTCACAGCAGCACCCAGGGACAAACCACAGCCCATTTGGGTGCTGGGGCCTGTTATAGCTCCCACATTTGCAACGTGGGAAACTGCATTAACACCTCTGTTCTCATGCAGATTATTTTAGGCGGGGGCGGAAAAAATGGTTGTAGTGTTTTTCACACACAACAAGAGAAGACTGTGTCAGTTTTGTCATATACTAAATGCGGATTTTACAAAGAAGCATAAAAAATATATATATCAGGCGTGAAAAGTGATTTTCCTAAGAGCTCTGTTCTCACACACACTTGCTGTTATGTTCATAAGAAGAAAAGCAATTCCTAAGTGATTCCTATTCTACTGTCTTTATGAATGTGCCCTGGTATAAAAATGATTATTCAAACAACGGTCCCACCTCTCTTCTAGCTGCTGCAGATGGTGGGACTGAATCTTCAGCTTTGGTGGATGACAACGGCAGCGAGGAAGATTACAGTTATGAGGAGCTCTGCCAAGCCAATCCAAGATACCTGCAACCTGGAGGTGAACAGCTAGCAATTAATGAGGTAAATCCTGGGTGACAATCTGGTGTGGTGAATCTGTGCAGTTCTATAGTGATGGTTTTTGGCTGGTGTGAGGACTCATGTTAACAAAAAGCGTGGTGACTGTGGCCATCATAACTAAGAACCCATCAGCCACAGCATCCCGGCTCTAAGAGGGCCCAAGAGCAGATAGATGCCAAGAGATAGGTGCATAACAATACAGTTTCACATCTTGACTGGGACTAATCTGGGGGTTTAGCTCAGCTAATGGGCATAGTGTAGGACTCTAATTGTTCTCAGACTAATAAATATATACAAAAATTTCTGAAAATCCAGAATTTTGGTTTTATCCTGTAATGGGATTAATCTTCGATTTTGAGTGATACATTTTGATCTACTAAGTAGTTTGTAAGTAGTGTGTTGTTTATCCTTTGCTCATCACAAACAACTCTTTTATTTTCCATCTCAGCTGATAAGTGATGGCAGCATCGTCTATGCAGAAGCTCTCTGGGACCATGTGACTATGGATGATCAAGAACTGGGCTTCAAAGCTGGAGATGTCATTAGAGTCCTAGAAGCTTCCAACAAAGACTGGTGGTGGGGAAGAAATGAGGACAAGGAAGCCTGGTTTCCAGCTAGCTTTGTCAGGGTTAGTAGTTCTGTGCTCTTTTGCACCAGTGTCACACTAGATTCCTAGCAGAAATAATGCAGCAATAACTGTAGCATTACACTTAAATGAAGGGCCTGATCCACAACATCTTTGCCTCTGAATATCAGTGCTCCTAATGGCTTCACAGAGGAAAATGCAGGAAAGAATCAGAGCCCAAGCTCCTCTGTCACATCCTTCTTTGTCCTTCTTTCTTTGTGTAGTCCTTCTGTAACCAAAGGGATTTCATAAGAAACAAGGGTAGAAGAAAACTCAGCCAAGAGAAATCAATGTACACAAAAGGGACATAACAACTTTCATAAGAGAGTGGGAAAGGCTATGCTGCAGGCTATTCCATTCTTATATTGCAGTTTTCTTGGTAAAATAATGTTTAACCTTTTATCTCAACTTTCTGTAGGAATCTGGTTCACAGTGAACTCTTTAGCAAGACTTCAGTCAGATTATCATGCCAATATAACGCTTGAGGGGTCTAAAATTGAACTGTATTTTATAAGTTAACTTAAAGTACTTTTTGAGATCCTAGTGAAACTTAGGTTTTGCTATATTAAGCACACAAAATGCACAAAATTCTAGAGGCGGTTCCTGCCCTTATCCTGCATAAATTTCCAAACAAAATTGGCAATCAGTCAAAAATGGGAAAAGGATTTGCTGTTATCCACATTGTACAGATAAGGATCTGAGGCAGAGGGAAAATATTTAAAACTATCTGAATGACTTGGCAACATGGAAATTTTTGCCTGTAAGCTGACTTGCACAAAACTACATATACACTATTAGGTGAGAAATAAGCATAGGTCTGCAAAAATACAGGCAACACAACATGGTGTCTCTGAGATGCTGTCAGTAGAAAGCCATGCTTTGATCAGCTAGACAGAAATCTCAAGACTTTATTTGAATAGCAAAGGCCAGCAAGATCAACCTTGTTGTGGACCCCTCTCGATAAAGTAGGAGTGGGAACATTTCTCTAGCCCGTCCTGTGGGAAGTTCGCATCAGCACTCCCATGTTTTGTGACTGTTGGTGATCCGCTCTAGTTTGCCTTGTTTGTTCTGACTGCAGCTGCGAGTTAATCAGGAAGAACTGCCAGAAAACTGTGGTAGCATCCAGGATGAAGAACAAGACGCAGACATGAGCAAGCATCGCCAGAAGATGGCAGAAAACAAAGATCAGATGAGGACCAATGTTATACAGGAAATTATGAACACAGAACGAGTCTATATCAAACATCTCAAGGACATTTGTGAGGTATGTGCTTTAACCTGGGGCAGTCTACTGATCTAATGGGAACAAAACTTCCCATATCAGTTGAGAGCCAAAGTGTTTTCTCTTATCAAAATAATCCCAATTCCACATGTGAGGCTGCCAGTGAGAACCATCCTGGGTGCTGTTCTGACTCTCTTTTCTGTAGATCGACACAGGGCATCGCTTGCTTTTTAAAAAACAATCCACTTCTCACTTGGAAAAAGTGCTTTGCTTATCTGACCGCTATTTCCATAGACAAAAGATAGAGGAAGTCCAATTTATTTAGTACATTTTACCACATGGTTTTGATAAAAAAATTTCAGTACGTTTAGTAAATTCTCTTACACTTCAGAGATAAAACATTTGGAAAGTAACCTGGAAGGAGAATTTTGGGGGTAGTGATTTTTTCTGTGTGCTTAGTACCTGTGAAGAAGGCTTTAATCCCTTTCCTTGTTTGAACTATAAAATATCAAGAACACAGTGTTTTTCTTCTGTTCTTTGCTCAGTTTTTCTTGGAGAATCACCCTAGGGCCAGTAGCTTCTTAAAACTTTCTCTGAAGTTTGCTGCTTCTGAAAGGGACTGTGATGCAACTGGGCTGTCTCGAGGCTGGTTTTGTGATTTATAAAAGTCCAAGGAAGGGTGCTAACCAGCCTGTCAAAATATTCCTTCAACTCTCATTTTGCTGAGGATATTTTTGATGTTGTCATCTTTTGTCCACCCTTCATCATAAGATTTTTAATGGAAAACAAAGTAGACAAAAGGTGAACTTCTAATACCAGAGGACAAAAGTTTTTTTTTTTTTTTTTTTTTTTTAAGATCAGAGCTTTTCTAAGGGATCTTGAAGGAATAGAAAGGGAAAACAAATGAAAGAACAACATTTGTTGTTAACTTGTGGGCTATTCCTTAAAAATTGTAAATGTGAATTGACAACATTTGTTAATTTGTTATTCCTTAAAAATTGTAAATGTGAATTTTGTCATTTGGATGCACTCTTCTGCTAGAGTAAGTTTAGAATAATTTTCTCAAATATCTGAAAGATCACAGAGGAATTTGTACATACAGGTGTGTCTCCGTCATGGTTATCTGGGTTCTAGGACATGACTTTCATCTTCTACTGAACTGCTAATTCTTAACTGGTATTAATTATTAAACTTGTCTAGTATATTTATTCTATAACTTTTTAAAAGCTGATATCCCTCTGAGTTTAGTAAATTGGAGCTAACACATCTTTCCAAGTGGAGACATGGTGTTCCACATTTAACTTGTGGGCAGAGAAGGAATGGCTCTCTGCAGCATGGAAGCAGGATGAAAAGCAGGATGGAAGGCTGAAAATACACTGAAGAAAGACTGAGTCAGAAAAGATATTCCAGATGCTAATGCAAATTTGCAAGCTCTGCATCAGTATGAATCACTAGGGCTGGTGCTGTCAGGATCATAAACCTGGAAGGATATGCAGATAAAGATTTGAAGTTCAAAAAATTACCTGCAGTCCACATTTACAGGAGCTGCACAGATCATTTTCCATGTTGATGTCTTCCTCCTAAACAGTAGTAAACTCACTAGTTAGGTTGTGTACAGTGTGGTGGCTCTCAAAGCAGATGCTTGGGGAGAAGACAGGCTTTTCTTTCCTGCAGTCTGCACTGGAAGGGCTGTGGGAGAAGCTTGTCTGAGAGCCGCCCCACGGAGGAGCCTGGCAGATAACCCAGTGCACCAACCTTTGCACCAGCTGCTACACGAGAACACGAGCAGAGCTGATGCTCCTCGACCTGCAGCTCCTGCACCTCTGCTCTTGGCTCCAGCGACAAGGATTAAGGACTCGGGGCTGCATGTGGTGGCTGCTGCTGAGGACCTGAGCCCCTTACAGCCCCTTAGAACCCCTTAGAGCCCTTTATCTTTCCTTAGCCCCATAGCTGTGTAAATGCTGATATGATCTAATGTGGAGTACCGAATGCAGAGCAGGATTTGCCCGAGGGCGTTTTAAAAGTGGAGCACTTGACCAGGTAGCTTCTGAAGGCTGGTTGCAAATGAAATGAGCTGGACCCATGTGATGTCCTTACAAGCAGAGCTAAAAAAGTAGAGAATCTGATCTTTTTTTTCCATGCAGTCATGCCAGTATTATTAACTCCTGATGATGTGATAAGGTTTTTACCCAACAGTAGCAAGTTGTATGTGTTGTAGCATGTTTTTAATTTTGCTTGCTTACATACCACTAAGGAATCAGCGCTTTAGCCTTGGCAGAGCTGTTTCTACGTTAACTGTTTAGGATTTGTTCTTACTCCCATAAGGAAAAATTATTAGAGCACAAGTGTATTAGAAAGCAAAGCACAGCAGCTAACCTAGAGCTACACAGGGGACTCATGCCAGGCCTCCCCCGTTCATAACAGGAAGATGCCAAGGAGCTGTATACATTTTGAAGGTACCATGGTTCTCTGCATCATGCAGTGAAACAGAGGTGCCATTAGCAAAAACAGTTGTGTACGATTTGAAGCTGAAATCTCTCGTCCAGGTTTGTGTGCAGGGTTGGGAACCAGAGTCCTGCCCTGAGACTACAGCCCCCAACTCCTGCCAAGCTAAAGGGGCTTGTTCGGAGCAGGACCCGCGTGTGTATCCTCAGACTCGATAAAAAAGGAGGTGCTCTCCTTTCATTTCCAGGGTTATATTCGGCAGTGTCGCAAACATACAGGAATGTTCACCACGGCGCAGTTAAGCACCATTTTTGGGAACATTGAAGATATTTACAAATTCCAGAGGAAGTTTCTGAAGGACCTTGAGAAGCAGTACAACAAGGAGGAACCTCATCTAAGTGAAATAGGATCGTGCTTTCTTCAACATGTATGTTGCAAACATTTGTTTTATTTATGACATGAACAAAATACTATAAGAAAAACCTAAGTTACCAGATAAGGAGATGATTTTACTAACTTATCAAATATTAAACTATGCATGGAGAGTATTTTAGAATTCAGAGTGTTTACAATTAAAGAATTACTTACATGTTTTAGATTTCTCCTCACTCCTTAGTAAGAATGTTTCTCTGTACACATTTAAGTTTCCTTTTCAGAAATAATCACAGATCAGCTGGACCATGTCCAGTGCTCTCAAATTGTTTAAATAGACATGCAAAAATGGCATAAAAAGAAGAAAACAAACAAGGAAAGGAAGTGCAAGGGAAAGGCTCTGTGAGTCCATGAGAGACACTTACTGAAGTCATAGCCATCAAGGTTTTCTAATTTCCAAGATTCCCCAAAGAAAAGGACTTTTTAAAGTGACTTTGATTATCCTCAGTGGAACCTCCATTTTTGTGTTCATACAAAGAAGGTACATAGTTTTAACGGTTGCAAAGCAGATTTTTACATAGTTTTAAACATGACTTTTTCTTCATTTTGGAAACAGTGTAGGAAATGAATTAATATAACTGCATAAAAATAAACGTTATAAAGCATCGCACAATTTTTATATGCAAATAAGTTTAAGCTTTGACTTTTTTTTTTGTAGCAAGAAGGCTTTGCTATCTATTCAGAGTATTGTAACAATCATCCCAGTGCCTGCATTGAACTTTCCAAGCTAATGAAACAAGGCAAATACCGTCACTTCTTTGAGGCCTGTCGCTTGCTGCAGCAGATGATCGACATTGCCATTGATGGTTTTCTTCTCACGCCTGTTCAGAAAATCTGCAAATACCCTCTGCAGCTTGCTGAGTTGCTCAAATACACCACTCAGGAGCACAGGTGAGAGGATTAAAAAGATTGATCCTAAACAGTCATAACACCGAATTACTCAAGATTTCAGACAGAAATAGGCAGCCCTGAACCACACTGAGTCTTTTCAGATCAGGAACAAAACTCCACCTCACTGCTATAGAGAAACCTGCCTCTTGGAGCCATAAAAATATTAACAAAAATAGTATCTGAAGTGTAGCACAGGGGAACTGGGAAGGTGCCAGAGAAGGAGGAATAAACAAAGTGGGAGGAAGGAAAAGGGCGCTGAGAAAGAACTGGAGAGAGGAATATACAGAAGAAAGGGAGAGGCTGCATGATCTCATGGACACAAGAAAAGGTGAAGAGGGTCTTAGAACCAAAACACAATCTGAGTGAATTTGAAACTTTTTTTTTCTTTGAAATTTTAAAGCAATGAAAGCTGCAGGAGAAAAACAATGTCACAGGAAATGAATTTCTTAACTCCAGTAAAAAGATAGCTAGAAAACGTGGGAATGTAGGGAGAATGAAGAGGGGAGAAAGCTAAGAGAGCTATCAATAAGGGGAGAGAGAAAGTAACTGAAAGTAATTTTTGTAAGAAAACATTAGCAAACTGTTCAGATACCAGGGTATTTATATCTTCTTATCTTCTAATGAAAAATACCTCTAACAATACAGACATTGTCCAGCAAAACTCCCAGTAACTTCATGACAAGTACTCATCCCCCTTTTCCCAAAATACAGAGTACAGAGTATTTTGGGATCATCTGACTTTGACTCTAGTCGTGATCCATATGGATAATCAGCCATATCCAGGATTTACATTG